ATATATATATATATATATATACATGGTTGGCATTATTTTATTCGCCACTAAAAAACCCAGGAGGTTTTTTGGGTTTTATCGGGGTTGTATAGGAAAAATTAATTTTTTAATTAAAAACACATAAAAAAGGAACGTATTTGTAAATATTTAATGAATATAGGTATACTAATAAACTAACCAGACTGATATAATTATATTTAAAGACATTTTATTTTAATGCATATTTGGTTTTATAAGTCCTTTCTATGAAAATTTACTTGAAATTGAATCTAAATTACATTTAAATAAGGTTAGGTAAGTTAACGTTTTTTTTTTAAACTGAATTAAAGTTAATAGCTTATAAAATTAATAAAATTAAGTTAAAAGTTGGAGGAATAAAAAATTAACTTAATAAAAGTTAAGATTGAATTAACTTAAGTTTAAAAAAGAGTTAATTTTGAAAAAAATTATTTTTGAAATAAGAATGTCTCAATTTTTCTTAAAATCTGAGATTACTTTAAATAACACTTACGTTAGATTATTAGATAAATTTAATTTTTTTATTCACATATAAGTTACTTATACATAATAACAGTTACATCATAAGACATTTTTATCGAAATTTTGCGAGAGAAAATTAAGGGTATATATTTACATTATTTCTTTGTCTTTAACCTTTATCTAACTTTCTTTAACTTCCGAAACGTCTTTTCACATATGTTTACGACTACATTGACTAGATATTTGTTACAAAAAGTATACGTAAAAATTTAGAAAATGGGTGAATGCGCAGCACTGTTTTACAACAATTCTTCATCTAAAGCTCATTTCATATTTATGTTGCTAAAATATAATGTTTATGACGCCTAAAATTAGTGTGATTCAAATATAAATGGGAATTGACAAAATCTAGTGAGAATAAAAACTGACTACCGTATTGTGTGACTCTTATTATAAAGTTTCTAATTATAAAATTATTGAACTTTTTATACATTAATTCTCTAATCTTTAAAATTTTATAGAAAAAATATTAAGAGATAGAAAAATTTTTAATTTAAAAAAGTTAATTAATGTTTAGAAGTAACTGAATTAAGTTCAAAATTAATGCATTTAAAATTAACTAAGTTAAGTTAAAAGTTATTAACTTTTTAACTTTTTTTTTAACTTTTAACGTTTTAACTAGTTAATATCCAACTCTTTAAATATCTACAAAATGTATAATATACATTCACCATTTTTGTGCTAATTTTTTTATTCTATCCGAACGCTTTTTATTATTTTATATATGTAATATTATTTCTTTCTTTACCTTCACTACAGAAGTTTTTTTTTATTTGAAAAATTTATCACAATATTTTTACCATCAGAGATAATATACGATATATAAGAGCCACTGCGGATCTTGATACGTAAAATATATTATATTTTAATTCATTCATCATTCAATCATTGATAAAAATTAATAATGTCCTACATGTTTCGGCCCATGATTGAGCCCTTTTCAGAAACAAAAACTTCTTACATAATTATTGTTATTGTATATTTTTACAAAATTCTTTTATAATTAATTTTATTTGAATATGTAATTAAATAATGATAAATACAACGTAAACTAAATATTACACGAAAGAATATCAAACAATTTTATCAAAAAAACCCAAAAAACCCCCAATAAAACTCCTTAAAAAAATCAGCTGAGTTTTTTTTTTAAAAACCCGAGTTTTTTTCGATCCTGATATATACTGACAGAATGTCCCAAAATTTGCGAACCAAAATACTACAGTAAGAAAGTTTTCAAAAAATTAATTGAAACAGTTATTTATAAATTTTTATTTTAAACAAAAATTATAATTCATTTGTGGGTTAAGTAAAGATAAAGAGTTTAAATATGGCCAATTACAGATTATGTTTAGATGGGCTACGTTAAACGCTGAAGTGTGCACTTATTAATACTATCGCACGCATGATTCATGGATAGATGACCATCTATGTTGGCTACAATTAAACCTTCCTATATTGAAATTTATTGCTTGCAATAAAAATGTACATATAACTTTTTTAATTTTTCCAAAACTTTTATGCTGTGATATTTCGATTCGCGATTTTCCGAATACCCTATCTAATGTATATGTATTTATACACTTATAATTGAGGGAATGGACGGAATAAAGGCACAATTCTACTTAGGCCCTTTTTCCGGCAATTAGCTTTTTCATGTAATATTGATCGTAATAGAGATGATTTATAACATGTAACTTCTTAAAGGCATTACATAAATTCATTTAATATTGTATTCATTTATGTATAATAAAAAAAGTAGCAAGTTATTTTAATTTTTATTAATATCAAGATTTTGTAATTAAATAAGGTCTTTATTCCGCCCATCCCCTCAATTGTTATATTATTGCAGCTAATCAAAACCAAACTCAAAAACAAACAACTACAAGAAATATCACATCAATTCAATGCTGCTATAATAGGTTACGACGAGGGCATACAATCTGATGACAAAGTACTAGCAGGAGCATTATGGAGACGATTCTTTCAATTGGAGTGCAACAATCCGGAACACATTGAAACACTTCTGATTTATGTTAGGAAACAGGTAAACCTTTAGGAAATAATGCATAACTATATTCTATATTTTATTCCATGATATTGGCGTAAGATAACTTGCTAAAGTTAACTTGATGCAGTTTTTACAATTATACATTATTTAAAAAGTAATTTCTTTTTTGTTCGCTTTTCAGATTTGTTTGTTTGACAGTTTACCAAATGATGAAATTTTAAGAAAACCTATTTTAAAATTAATAGACATAAAAAGTTTATGTAAGCATCAACAATAATTACAATTAGCAGACAAAATTAACAGATAATGAAATATTGTTTTTGTAAATACATAATATTATTATGAAGAGTTATTGTAAAAATATAGTAATAAATATAATAATATAGTAGAATATAACTTTTTCGTAAAGTATTTTCTCTAAATTAAAATGCTTTTCACTTAAGGACGTTCTCCGAAAAATCCATTTTCTTTAGATTTTTCTGAAACTTACAGAATAAGCTTGTTTTAGTGTTCTGAACATATATACTTTGAAGCTCAGTACTCGTTGCGGGATTAAAAATCGAGATATTCCACTTCAAAGTTGAAACGTTTAACATAGAATCCCTATCTAAAGCTTATTCGAAAGTGGTTTTTTATTCACTGTAAACAAAGTTTTCTTTAGAATTTTTTGAAACAAAGAGACATAAAACTTGATATTACAAGGAATAATATGAAATTTTCCTGAATATGCCTTCCGGTATTTATATTTAAGAAATCATTTAACAAAGTAAGTAGCTCGGCTATTTTTTCGACCGGCGGCAGTAGCGAAGGCGAGAGGTATTGACGACTTGGCAACGTCGCGTCGTATACGCTCAACACGTGACGCGTGACAACACAAATAACCTCGTACTTTCTCAGGGTAGCGATCACGTAATTTCAGCAAAAAATTAATAAGATGCAATACCCGAAGCAGGGCAGACACTGTCCATAACCTTACTAACACAACACAAAGCACAGAGCGAAAAGGCAGCGTTGCCGCATCGCACGGAGTGACGCAGTAGGATCATTTTTACACTTCTGCGCACACGGTGATAGTCAACTAATATTTTCTGTGTGTAGGGGCGATTGCGTGGACGCGAGTAAACTTTAGGTTGAGCACAACTGCAGTCGGAGAACGTCCTTAACATTTTACATTAATGATGCATTAGGTTAAATTTGGTCAAATGTAAATTAATTCAAGACTACTAATTATCACATTTAATTTCGTGATCTCCCAGGCTCACAATTACTTGGCATATAAAAGCTCTCATGCATTTTGTATCGCATTCCTCCATCAGTGATGGTTCAGCTTGTTTAAAATAGTTCCTGAATCAATTATTGTTAGATGAGATAGAACACTGGGTAGACACAATAATTCACAATTTTCTACACATTACCTGTAGTAACGATTTAGCAGGTTCTCGTCGTTCACTAGTTTAAACAACCAAGTTTGTAACGAATTGTATGTCAAGTCGGAAAGTCCATATTCCTCTTTAAACGAATATGACTTATACCATAACGGCCGTTGGTCAGAATTAATGTTCGCTAAAGTCAAATTGTATATCCAATTCTCGAAATCTTTGACTTCCTATAATAGAGTTTAGCCAATCGTGTAAATGTACATTTTATCGAAATGTGTATTTTACCGGAACTATGTAATACTTACGTAATTTTTACTGTCAATAGTGTAAAGCTTATAATTGGGATTTACATTCTGGTAAGTAGTTATGCTACCACCATTCCAAGCGACGTTACTAATCTTGCTGTTATCATCACTGCCGTAAATTAGCTGTAATTCATCTTTGTGCGTATGGCCGTTGAATTGTGCTTTAATGATGTGGGAAAATCTGTTGACAATTTTGACGTATTCTCTTTTCCACGTAGTTTGACAATCTGTATTACTAGGAGGAAGGTGCGCTAATATGTGCACATACTCTTCATCCACTTCAGCTTGCGAAAGCGTATCCGCCAACCATTGCAACTGACCATCAGGATCTTGCGGTTGATACAGTATCCACCTGTAGAAATGATTCTATATAAAACCGCGTAAAGTAAAATATTTAATTTATATACTTCCTGCATTTAAAAGAAATATATGATGATGTAAAAAGAGTTAGTACAACAAATATTGAAGAAATCAATTATATATATTACTATATTGCTGCATTGATAGAAAATAGCAATTTTTCAATAGAACATTTTTAAAATTCTTTCCGAATTGGAACGTTTTAATCAGGGATGGGAAAGTTACTTTGTAAAAGTAATTAATTACAGTTACAGTTTTTCTCTTTCAAAAAGTAATTAATTACCGTTACAAGTTATTGACTCTGAAAAGTAATTCGTTACAGTTACAGTTACTGAAAAAGTAACTTTAAGTTACTTTTAAGTTACTTTTTTCATCGGAATTTTTACTAATAGTATCGATACCATTAGGGCTGTATTAAAAACGTTACCCAACTGCCTTCATGTATCATTTTACACTTGTTTTTCACCTAATATTAAACAAGGATGATACACGGGGTCATCAGTGTAATGCAGCATTGGATTTGGACAATTAAAAAAAAAGACTGGCTTACATTTACATGTTATACAATTTTATTCAAAAAGATAAAAAAAATTGTATGGCAAAGACGTTTTTCGTTAAAGTAATATAAACACATATGAATATGAATATGAATATGAAATAGCACACATATACAATGTTTTTTGTAAAAAAAATTCTTTTTATATTCGGCTAAAAGTTGCAAATAAATTCCAGCACTAATCCAAAATAGTTTACAATCATTCACTGAGCGCTCTTGTATTTGATTGGCGGATTCCATTAGATCCCAAAATATAGACCAAACAGGTACAAAAGTTCATTGAACGCTTTAATTAAATTTCTTTCTTCTGATTAATCAAATATTTCGAAGTATTCGTAGCGCTAAGTGGACACGACCACACACTAAATTGACAAATACGTTTCAAATATATAAAATAACTATGAAAGTAACTATTAAATTAGTTACTAGTTACTTAAAAGATGTAACTAAGTTAAGTTATAATTACAGATGGAAAGAAAGTAACGAAGTTAAGTTACAGTTACTGAAAAAAAGTAACTCTAACTGTAACTTCGTTACAAGTAACGAGTTACTTCCCATCCCTGGTTTTAATTAGGGTAGTGAATATACGTAACTTTATTTTTTCCATGTTATACCTTCAATAGAAGAAAGTTGTTTACTTCCTCTTACAAAGTTAAGAAGGACTTTATTTACAGTTTCACTTGCAAGTCACACACATCCATCTATACTTTACGTTAACTAAAAATCCGTTATCAAAAAGTGACTGTTATCTGAACCTAAACATTTAATTATAATGTATTCTTTAAAATTACGTCATAAGTGTAAGAAATTTAGAAGAAACAGGCAAAACAGAGAAGCTATTAGCGTTAGGGCTGTGTGGCAGGATGGAAGTCTACCAATATGTAGAAGACCAGGCCTTAGTTCGAATTCCGAAGCGCTCTGATGCTTTTCTCTTGCTGTTGCTTATTTCTTACGTAAGTTTTCAAAATTTGAACAGAATTACTTGTCAGAATTATGATACTTTTCCATGTATTGACAAATATATCGTTTTTCATAACAATATATTGATCATTTCTTTATTAATTTTCTTTCATTATCTTAAAAATGTTAATTCTTTTATTTGTTTTGTTATGGCAATAATTTTTATTTTATTTGTAGATTGCAATATTGATCTACAATGTAGACTCTCTTATCTTAGTAATATTTTTGCTTTCAGAGATATCAGTCAATAAATACTTTTATATCAACGCGACAATATATTGTGATGCATAAGATAATTCACAATATTTATTGGCTAATATCTTAGATTGATAACGTTAATTACGATATTGCAATCTACAAATAAACTACTTGTATTTCAATTAAAAAACTGATTTAATATGCTCACCAGTTGTAGCTATAACACACGTTATTGTTCAAAGCTATAATTCTAAATCCTTTCTTAGGCGAAACCGTATAAAATCCGCCTTGTAGAATGGTAGAACGTGTAGATTTCGGTAACCATCCGAAACCAATCCATAAATCAGCCATCAGTTTATACAACCATTGTGTGCTTATCTCGTTATTAGTAATAGTCCTAGGTGCAAATCTAAAAGAATTGTTCAACACTATATATATTAATATTAAATACGGGAGTATGTATGTACGTATTAATCGCATATGGTATATTTATATTAAAATATTTTTTGGATAGCTTACTGATTTACAGGATGCGGCTCGTGATTACCCAGAATAGAATATACAGGAATATTTTTGAACGTTTCATAAATTTGAAGATAGCTTTTGTTCAGACTTTCTATATTTCCCTCGATGCTAGTCTCCCAAACACCGTGGTCTATTATGTCACCAGTGAAGTAAACATAGGAAATATTCTACAAATTAATTAATTAATATTCTCTAAAATAACTTGCGGTTTTGAAAAATTATAAATAATAATATAGTAATATGTAGATTCTCGCGTACTTGATGTTCAGCTGTAACGTGATCTAGGACATCAACAACAGTGTGCCACGGACTGTCACAATAATTATAATCTCCCCAATAACCTGCCACCTTGTCGCTTGTATTTGTATCGTTTTGTCCTTTTCGGCAACAAGTTGGTTCATTGCAATATGCATTACCATAAGGTTCATAATTAGGATCGTAATGAATATCTGTTATTTGCAATATATTTATGGTTTCATTGCTCTCTTCCGGTTTAATCCATTTTGGGAGACCATCATCAATATTGACTGTCCAATTAAACTCGTTATTATCAAGTGGACAAAACGGTGATTCTAGTAAAACTCCGCAAATTGTATCTGCCGTTAGATTAGGCTTTGAATCTATGATATGTAAAATTATCGGCTGCAAATAAAACGTTCAGACCTATACTAAAAAGAAAAGTTAATAATAAAGAACGCTAGAAAAATCTTATCGTTTTGAATATGTAATCTGGTTGGTAAATTTATTAATTTGAATTGAATCTTACAGAAATCTTATAAAACCCGATAAAATACGATAAGATAGAAATCCTTCTGTTGTTTTCTATCATCTTTCTTTTATCAGGGATAGTATATTGAGTGTGTTAAAAATAATTGATGTTAAAGATGTTATATTACTGTGAAGAAATTTTTGCATATTGATATTATAATAATGAAAATAATCAAAATTTTCAATTTAATTTAATTTTATTTGTATAACTATTCAATTTACTTACCAAATTGATAGTTACCACACCATCGCAGACTTGTGGAGATTGCAATTTCAGTAGAGTACAAATTTTAATCACTTTACTCTTTATATCTTCTGTTGACATGCCCTGTCTACGATATTCTATAAAAGTATTTAGGACAGACTTACATATTATGCAAATATTTTCGCTACTTTCACCGTCGAAACTACGCCAATCTTTACGCAACAAATTGGTTGGAAGAGATAGATTATGGATTAACTGTTGAAATTCTTCAGATTTTTCATTTACTGTTATCCAATTATTAATTTCATGTGTAAGGCGTGATATTATGTCATCTGCAAAAACAGATAAAACCACCTTTCAAGTTTTGCAGCAAAGGTGTACAACACACTGTACAAGATATATACAGGGTGTCCCAGAAAGGTCGGGACACCTAAATATCTCGGGAAATATAAGTTTTACAGAAAAGTGTTTCAGACAAAAGTTATATGGTTTAAAAATATCTATTTACTGATTCTATCAGTTTGACCTTGGGTTGCGTAGCCAAAGTCAAGTCAAGGTTACATTAATTTTCTGAAATGGAACACCCTATTTTTGATTCAAGAATCTAATAGCTGATGTCGAGAGCTTTCCAAAACGCTATAATGAAATATTTTTT